TAGCTCACGTTTTTATACACGCAAACCTTTGATGGCCCTATGTCATTTAAAAGATCAAATTTAAAATAAATGAGCAGGTAATGTATTCAGAGCTCTTTTCAGCATTTGTCTGTGCTAGGAAGGTTTTAAAAAGTGAAATTTAAACTTTAGCATTGCCAGCTACTGTTGTAGAACTGTAGGAAAGTCTATATTCCCAAAATAACAGATGGTGAAAAACCATGCAAAAGTTTACACATTTATGGTAAGAACATCTATGAAATCCAGAAAACTCAAGAACTTACAGTATTAAACCTGTTTACTAGAATATTTGATGATCAGTTTGACAAACTGTGACGGATGACATAAATCCCAGATTTTCAGACCATAAGAGAATTATGAAAAAAAATAAAAATTTATTTGAAATGTCCTCCTCTTGTTAAATTTGGATACTATTCGTTTCACGTGCGTTAGATTTCAGATTTTATTGTGGCTTTTAATTACACTGACAAATAGGTACTATTTATAGATACTACTCTTGTTTAAATATGTCAACCCTGATTGTTATTCAGACTCACTTTAGGGTAGTAATTATCATTTTTTGTAAGAAAAAAAAACAAAAAACATTTTGCTTTTCTTACTTTTTGCATGGAATTGTTTCCAAAAAAATTATCCCATCAAAGGATTTTATTCAATTCTTTTTTAACAGCCCTTTGTTATCTTTGATCACCCACTTAATGGAATATCTGCTATTGTTCTGCAGGATTTTGACAACAAGGGGTGTGCTGATTGCAAGATGACAGTCCCAGAGAGGAAACCAAATCTCCTAACCTTTGTTTTTCATCAGTCATTATTGGACAGAGATGGAAGATGTCCTGCTGCAGATTTCATCCCTGATGGGACCTTGTCCTTCTGCAGACAAATCAAATGATTCAAATGACCTTCTGTTATTTATGAAAAGAACAGAAATGTGATGTTAAGTTTTAAAGTTGAGTGTTTAGAGAGTTTAAAATATAATAATACATGGAAAACAATAAAGGCTCCTACAACCATCATATACAAGGTGTGATTTTTGTCATTGTTAATCTATTTTTTGCCTTTTTTTTATTTTACGTCAGTATATTTTATCCCATATTGTTAGTACTTCAACGTAATAACTGTATTTCTATGCTAAAATCTACAAAAGAATATATACTTGAGTCGCATACAGCAACTACCCCTGAAGAAAAATGCCCACAAGCCAAACCAGCCAAAAATCTTAATGAGTCTGGCCAGATAAAAAGAGGGAATTTCAGCAAAATAAAAGAATAATAAAGGTATAAAATCCTTAACAAGTCTGCCTTTGTTCTTCCACCCCACCCACCATAAGAAGGCATAGCTGCAGCTCTGAGGGCAGCTCTGAGAGTTCCATGCCCATCGGCCTTCAATCACATGGGATGTCTGAGTTTGACAGTATAAAGTCTTTCTTCTAGAACAAAATAAGACCCCTAAGCAATAGTGGATGAGATGTTAGTAACTATGCACTCCATAGGGAAGTAGATCAAGCTTGGTAGTAAAGTATACACAAAGTGCTGGTTGGGGATAAAACAATGGACCTTTGAAAACACGACTGGATGCCACAACAGGCTCCCAATCCTTGCAATTAGGTGTTCTGAAAATGCATCTATATTTTTGGGTTCACAAGTAAAACAAGGTACTCTCTTTAATGTATGTATTGAAAGTGTTGAACTTTGTGATCTTTACTATTTTCCAAATGAAGTTTCAGAGCTGTCTTCTAACAGCAGCCTCTTGTCTTTCTGCAGAGCTGAGTAAGTCATCATGGAGGAGATGAGTTTAAAGTAAAGAGTAAAACTATTCACTGAATGGGAAACAAGATGAATTGACATGTTCATTACACAGAAATGTCTCTAACTTAGACTGCTAAGTAAATCGAAAATATTTTATTTTTTTATTAGAACTACAGGTGCATTCTGTCTGATGGTCTGCTATCGGTACCAAAATAAGGGAGTGTTACTGGTCCAGAGCTCAGCCAACAGGATTAAAGTGGCACTTTGACAAAACAATGAAACAGACAACCCCTTTTAAGATCAACTTTGGTAGTAGAGAACTCAGCCTGAAATGAAATTATAACACTAGCAAATTGTGAGAATTTTGGGAAAATGTAAGATTCAATATAATTTCCATTAGTCGATGCCGTTCTAAAGCAACCTAATTAACTTGGAATAGATGTTCTTCATCCTCAAAGGGTGGAAAAATAGTAGCTCTCTGCAGGTGTTGGGAAAGTCGTTACTAAAACAAAAGAACTGAGTAAGGACTAAAATTCAGCCAATTGCTTCGAGGTCTAGTTACCACAGGACATAGTGAGTCCCTACATCTTGCTGGATTTCATTCTGTAAAAAAAAAAAAAAAGCAAGTCTGCTTTTGGCCACATAAAACTATATTTGCATTGACTGGACATAGTGATGCATCTTTCATTCATTCTTAAAAAAGGAAGAATTCAAGGAAGCATTCAACCATAGGTACACCATTGGAATGATCAGGACTGGTGGTGGGAAGGTGTTTCAAAGGGATTATTCTTTACAGCAAATTAGACAATCCATCCAATCCGTATAAATGGCACGACAATAACAAACTAAAAGAAAAATACATCAAGATTCTGAAATATCTCATCAAGACATATGCAGAAAATTTTGGACTTGAAAGCGAGCCAAAGATTAGGGTGATTGCAAAGAGGCCTTCCAGCTCAAAAAACGTGGAAGTGACCGATCTAAGGTACCAGAAGAAACAAGTAGGAAGTTTGTCAGGAATTATGTGAAGTATTCAACGACTATAAAGGGCATTGTGTCTTGTTTATTGAGAATTGAGAAGTTTAGACATGTCAAATAGATTTAAAAAACATCTATATTTCTTGCATTGTCTAAAATTTCAAAGGGGAATCTCTTGTCAATCAGAAAACCTCTTTGTTGAATAAAATGAATGTATACTTAAATTTGCTAAGGTTCTAAATAATTGGATTTCTCTTTATCAACTCCATAAGGAGAACAACAAAAGCTAAATGCATGATAAACAAAGCCTTGGATGTTTCCAGCTCTGAAGCTTTTGAGTGTGGGGAAAGAACAAAGATTTTGTGTGTGTCATATGATGATGTATTTAAAGTCAGTTTATTCATAACATGTTACTGTTTAACCAAAGTGTCTGTTATTCGTTTAGACTCTGACAACATTCCATTATTGTAAGTAAGGGGGAACGAAAGCTGCTCAGGCAGAACAGGGCTGGTTACTGTGCAATAAGGGCCGTATGATGAACTGTTCTCTCTTTGCAAAGATAAAAATAATGTGCTGACTGAGTGAAATCCATCAATCTCTGTTTATTTAACTGGAGCAAACAGTTGAATACTTTTTTTCCAAACTACAACAGCTAAGTAGTTATCAATGCAGTTGGTATTTTCTAGGCTACAACAGATGTGGGACATTATTCCCAGAACCAAATTCCATGGAAAATCAAAACCAGCAAGGCTTAAACTCGGTGTGTGTGTAGAGGCAGTGCTGACCCTTAAACTCCATTAGAAAGAATGCATCTTTCATAAGGAAAATGTGCACAACTAAAACTCACTGCTGATCTTTAAATAAGAAACATCCTTTTGAGGTAAGAGGCATGTACTTTCCCACATAATCCGCGTCCCTCACAGAAAGTTTTTGTTTTGCTTCATTTTTCTTATACATCTCCTGCTGTCTGTTTATTCAGTTCCAAAATATCACAGTTCAGTGGTTTTAATCTCTTTTCCTCCCATGAACATGCTGTTTGTTGCAGGGATGTAACACACAAACAGGCATTAGTGTTCCAGCTGGCCATTGCACACCGAATTGAAAGCCACTCGATCACAAAAAAGCAGTTATAAAGTGAAGGACAACTAACAACAAGCATACATAGCCTCCCATTTCCAACATAAACCACATGTGGGTTTGGAGCCGCCGAACGTAAAGGACTACAGAAAAACAAGGGGTGAGGTGTGGGGCTGTGTAACATTCAAAATTCAATCAAGTGAAGGCCATCTCCAGCGGGGTAACAGCGTGTGTGGGGGGGGGGGGGGGGGGGGAGGTCTAACTCAGCTGAAGTTTCCACTGGGCCTGCTGAGCTCCTAATGCAGCCTTGGATGTAATTGGGTCCCAGAAGGCTGTTCATTATTGCTGGTGAGCGAGGCAACAAAACAGAAAAAGGGGGTAGAGGGAAAAAGAAAATGTCTCATTCTTTGCTCAGTGCCTTTGTCTTGGCAACATTATGGGACACGAGTTAATTAAAAGAGCAGTTGATGCCTCTGTTTTTCTCATCAATCTCACTTCTGCTCTTATTAAGTTTGTAATGACAGTGGAGCTTGTCGCTGTCTGCAAGCAGACTTTAAACGAGAGAGAAGGGCAGTTAACACAAGGGACAACTCATTTCAACAAATCTCTCAGTGGTCAACATCTAACATCACAATAATCTCTTCATCAAATCTAAGGCTAAGTGATATATAGTCTGCAGGGGATTTACATGTCCTCTTATGTAGAGGCAGCTTTTATCATTCGGGTGTGGCTGAGGAGCCCATTTAAAAGGCGTGGCTCCAGCTCCGATCTACAACGCCTTGGAGGCCATTTTAATTCTTTACATCATTACAAGACTCTCTCAAGAAAGCTAGAGTAAAGGTAACTGCTGACACTGTCATTCACAAAGATTATTTCATAATGTCAGCCTATAGCTCAGATTTGTCTCATTAAATTTGAGTCCATTTTGTCGATCCCCTTATCCGCCTGCCACACTCAGTCAGGAAAACTCTGAACTGAGAAGAGGGTCGAGGGCACTTATGAGGTGCCTATTTGCATGAGGGTTACAGCTAGACAGATGAACACTGACCAATAAAAAAATGATTAAAGCAGTGGGATTCAGCAGAGAAAAACATTGTTAGTTACTGAGCATATTTTTGTTTTTCCCTCTGGATCCGTGCCAGTTGGAAACCTCTGCTAAAACCTTTCTTTCCAAGAAAAACTGCTAAAGACTTTTCCACATCATCAAAGCATTGGCTCAACAATCTGGTGACCTGGAGATTTTACATACCGCTTCAGTAATACAAGAAAAAAAGACAGGGATCATTCTGGTAGATGTTGCATAATGTAAGGGAGGAATGATATGCTTTATTTTTTTCCCCTTTTCTTTGATTTTCCTTCACCCTTGCTAAAAGTGAATACAGTAATAACATTAATACTGTGGATCTGTATTTGCTTTGTAAAAACAAGACCTTATTTAGATAATGGTTGTCAATGGAACAAGATCCTAAGAGCAATAAAGTTTTAAAAGTTGATTTTACTACTAGGTTTAGGTAACTATTAATCTACATTTTTTATTTATTTTTGTATTCAAATGTTGGTCTGTTCAAAAAGTGTATTTTAGGAGTCAGTAACAAAACAGAAGTCGAAGAAGGCTTAAGGATCCGTTTTTGGCATTTTCTAATGTATGCCTTGGTTTGGTAAAATCCATTTATTTTAATCCAAGCAGCTTCCCAACTGATCTTTATCCACAATGTATCCATCTTTATTTTCTCCACTGCTTAATTAAGGTTGTGGCTGAAGAGAATGGTTCTGTTATTGGCTTGCTTGCACATGCTCAGCTGTGAACTTGTAAATTAATCACACACCATTGTTTACTCTTGCTTATGCATCTGTAAAAATAAATCACTGAACCTGCAACTAGACAATTTATAGCCTCATTTTCCATCGCTTTCACTTATTAAGCAATCATTTGTGCCATTGAAAAACCAACCTAAATGTGCATGTATAAATCAAACATTGATTTAACAAAAGAAGATCCTACAGTATCAAATGAAATGATCTTCTTAAAAAAAAGGATAGACAATGTTTATTTTTTTTAAATCTACATCAAATGTTAGAGGTTGGCATGTGAGTCAAGAGAACTACACTGTTTACAGTTTATCTGCAGATGTTTGATATTCCAGCTAGAGATGCAGCAATCAATTGGCCAGAGTTCGACATTAAATGGTCTTTCTTTGATCATTTCTGATTGATCACTGACAGGTCAAATACTGAAAAATCAGACTTTTTTTGTATTTCCTTAAATGCATCAAAAAAGGGCTTCATTTTCAGTCTAAGAATGCTAAAACAATAAAAACAGAGTATAGTCTATGATACTGTAACAGGTAATATGACGAGGTTCCGTTACCAATGCTGCAAACCACATTACCGAGTTGGAACAGGATCTACACAAAGTAAAAATGGTCAAATATCAAAGCAATTGTGTGCATTGCATTCCAACTGTATATCTGTACACTTATGTCACAAGTACAGTTTGAGTACTTCAGTCTGAAGAGAAGCCCTTCAAGGTAATGCACACTGTTCAGCCCAACACACTACTAACAACTATTAACAGACACAAAGCAGCAACATTGAATTGTTTTTCTTTCTTTAGTTGGTCTCTGACAATAGAACAAAAAAAAGGTCAAATTTCCCATCGAATGTAAAATTATTGTTTTGTCAAGAAGGCAAATGCAACTACAGAATATACAAAAAGACAAAGAAAATAAAACCATGGGGTCTTTTTTTATGCATAGGAGGCTGGTAGTGGCTGCTGATGAGCTCTTCAAGATTTATACAAGCCTTATACAAGTTCTCACTCTAGTGGCCTGTAGGTGAACTGCAGAGGAGACCGAAGGGAGCAGATGAGTGAAATGTTTTGTGTTCTGCCGATGTGATTCAGGTTTGGATCGCTGTGTTTCTAAGACGCTAAGGTGGGTTTTCACAATCCGAAGCGAGCCGGGGTGCGTCTGGGTGTCATGGGGGCCTCCTCTTTCCTTCCTGGGGTGCAGATTTTCACTGCCCTGAATCAAGACAAAGGGGAAACAGAGCACCGAATGTTTATTTGCTGAAACCAGGAAATAGTTATTCACCTGCTTTTTTCTTCAGTACAGCCACTTTTCATGTCTTCTTAAAGGGTGCTGGGACATGGACCCTGATGCCTCTGACAAAATCATCCATCATCTTTAATTATGTGACAATGACACTGTCCGCTCCTTCCTCATCTCTCCCTGTTGCCCACATAGATGCAGCAATTACAACATCAGGCCTTAACCTCCTTTCTGCCACTGGGGGGTTTTCACCAGAGCTATTTTTGTGATATTCTGGGACTCCCTTAATATCCTGTAAGCTTTTCTCTCTGGGCACTACATCTATTAGGTTTAATTAGCTTAACAACAACAAATTTGATTCATCTTCCAAAACTTCAAGAACACAGTGCAGATTTATCTTAGTTAATTCATGACTATTGAGACGTTACCTTACCACTTATAAGATAAGCTTCAGTGCAGTTCATGGTGACTGTTATGAACCAACTAACCAAATCTTAGTCTTAGTTGGTTGAAATTAACAAATAATCGAGGAAATTAATAAAAAAAAAAAAAAATTTCAAATATGACCTTTTATGATTTTAAAACCTTTAGAGATTTCAATCTAATGAATTGTTTCAACAGTCTGAAGTAAAATGATTAGATTCAAAACTTTTATTTACAATAAGAATTATTAATAATGTTTCAATCAACGTTTCAATCGAGTTTACCTAATGCATTCCCAACTAGGGATACACAACTTTATAACATGAAACCAAGCTCTAGATCAGATGTGGACAGCCAAAGTAAGGTAATCAAACATATAAGTGATAAAGAGAATTGTTGCCACGCATGTTAGAGCCTACCAAGAATTGCCTATGAGCAATCTATTGCCATTGCAACATGATCCCAATGAAAGGAGCATATAAGGCTCTGGACACTAAGAGCCTGATTTTTAAAGACACAAAATAAAGACCAATGAATTGCAAGGACAAAGAACAAGCAACACAAAAAAGTAATAAATGTGCAGTTATTGGCTATGTTGCATTCAATCTACAAAAAAAAAAAAAAAAAAGGGTTGTTCAATTACAATTAAATGAGGGAACTGTGTATGGATGGAGTTTGAGAGTGGCCATAAAAACATTACACATTAAACATTACTAACTAATCCTTGGATTTGAAGATAATAAAAACTAGAAAATAATAATAAAAGCAATGATAACACTAACAAAAGGATCGTGATCAGATTAAGAGCCAGATTAAGTTCTAAACAGCTTTTTTTTCCTCACCAACTAAGGAGCACTTAACCAAAATATTACAAACCAAAGCCCACAACAATTTCATACAACAGAAGTGTTTACAGATAACGAGTTCAAACAGGTGCAGGTGATAAATGTGACGAGTGAGAACTGGAGAGCTCCTTAAACAGTAAAATAACTTTATGCGTATTTGCATCATTGCACTTAAATAAATAACTTTTGTTCATTATTATTACCATGTGTGAATAGGTAGAAATAGCAATGTCATTTCTTCAAGCTTTCTTAGTATATTTAGCAATCGGCATTAGTAAAAATGAAGATTAATCCTGACTTGAAACTTGTATAAAAAAATTGATTAGTTTCCCTTTTATCAAACCAAACCGTTTTATGTTTATATAAAGCAGTAGTAGCTTGGCTTCTTATTAACTGGGAGCAGGAATGATGATGATGAGCAGCTGCCAGATCAAATATGCCATCCTAATAACATTGAGTTCAGTCAGAAGGCACTAGTGAGACCTGCAGGTGAACAAAGGAACCAACTCACACTAGAGAGCTTTTAACTTTTACGACCAACTTACTCTGCCTAAATCTAATTTTTAATCCTAAAACCCCAGTGTGATTATTTCCAATGTAACTGTCACACTAAATTCAGAGTAGATAAACCAGCTGATTAATTAACAGTAAGAGTTCTTTTTAAATCAGTCTTTATGGCCCCATTTCTCTGTGTGAAGCTCGCAGATGGGTGTGAAATTAATTTTTTGGTTTAATTTGAAAACGAACGTTCCCCTCCTTCCCTCTGTTCTGCTGTGGCACAATTTAAATTGCTGCAGTAATGGGGGTCAGCCTGGAGTCAATATTATTTCTTTTTGTCTCGTCTGGAGGGACCAGAGGTGAGACAAGCTCATCACGGAGAGTGAGAAAGGTGGAGTCGAGAGAGTGGGAGAGGAGGAAGGCGACGGCAGGGTGGAGGCGGGGACCGGCAGAGAAGTAGAAATGAAACTCTTCTATTCTTGACAGTGCATGGCAAATGAGAAGCCAAGATGAAGGCCTGCTAAACAGTGAACACAATGTGGTGAAGACACATCATTTACCTCACACTGCTGGTGTTGCTCTTCCTCTCCTGCTCCTCTCGACGTGCTCTCAGCTGCTCCTGAGCTAGGACCATCTCCTGCTCCATGTTGGTCAGCTCCTCCTTGGCTCGCCGACGATTCTCCTACAGGAGGCACACAGAGAGATAAAGGAGCCCATAAAGTATCAGTGCATCAGCCACGATGTGAAGAGTGTCGACAACAACCAAACAATCTGCTGTGAAACCTGCATCATGACATTTAGACAAATGCTAAAACATTTGACATGATTTTCAGGTTTAGTCTGGCACCTGTCTGCCAAGAGTAATGCTTTACTGCAACAGCTCCTCTAGATGTTGACTCTTCTAATACCGTTAGGCTTTAAAGACCTTCAAATTTCCCAGATACCATTTATTTAGCTTTTGTGCAAAGATATTTCACATTAGCCCACAGATTTAAAAGGAGCCACTGCTAACTTTGTGTATAAAATCATTTGAGGTATTTTCAATTTATGTATTACACAAATATGTGCAATACATAGATTTGCTCAGTGCTACATTAATGATATGTTGCTTTAAAGCAATGACATGATATGGGATAACATGTAATTGTGGTTTTGATGATAAAATAAGTCGATAAGTTATATCCAAACAGCTAGCCTTAAAATTTCTGCTCTCATTTCTCTGCACACATAAATACCAGACTGGAAAAACAAAAAAAACAAAAAACATCTTAGTTTGAATTAGAGCTAAGTAAATACCAGCCAAAGCATTTTAATGTCAAACCAAGACGTTTTTTGGCACTCTAAAGATTATAAACAATGGTAAATGGCCTGTAATTATATAGCACCTTTTTAAGTCAGAGGACTTCAAAGCGCTTTACACTACATTCAGTCATTCACCCATTTGCGCACACATTTACACACTGATGGGGGCAGCTGCCGTACACTGGAGCCACCAGGGCCTCTGACCACCATCAGTAGGCAATGCAGGTGAAGCGTCTTGCCCAACGACACTGAAAGCCGGAGCCAGAGCTTGAACCGTCAACCCTTCGATTTTTTGGAGTGTTCACAATGAAAATAATATAATAACTAGAAAATAGCACATGTACCATACTTAACAGGTTATTATTAGAGATCCAGGGAAACTTTCAATCTCTCATCAATTAACTGGGATAGATGATATTAATAATTTTTCTTATGAATTTGAAGCAGTCCTTTGAACTAAAAATGTTACTGATGTACAAGTAGTGTTGCACAGATACCAGTATCGGGCGGTGCCCCGATCCAGCACTAAAATGGTGGTATCGGTAACGACCAGTATCAAAAAAAAGGGCACCGATACCATTTTGAGAGCCAAAAGTTTATTCAACTATTGTCAGCCAGGCGGGCAATAAAAAGTTCTACTGGATTCACTTTGCATTAGTCTTTTTCCTGCTTCACAAAGGTAGGCAGCAGCTTGACAAAGCCATAATGACAATTATTTTACATCCAAGTAGTATACAGTTCTTCATATATACACACACACACACATTAATTTCAAACAGATGGTATTGGGCAGGTATTGGGGCCAAAATATGGCATCGGCGCATCACTAATAACAAGCATAAGTAAGTAAATGATACTGAAAAGACTATGACTGGGATATGTTGAGCAGGAGTGTGGAGTACATTAAGATAAATGAAACACTCAAATCTACTGTTTATAAGTCATTTTAAAAATCCATCGTTTGCCAAAGCCACCACCTGATGGCGGGATTAAATCTTAATTCCATTTAAGGAAAACGGTTTCTTAAATTTGAGTTTAGAGGAAAGATCTACACCATATTTATATCCAACCAATGGACCACATCTGTGTGGACTTGCCTTTTTGGGGTAAAGAACTTGTGATATTAATAACATATTAAATTATTTTCTTATGATAATTTTAATAGATTACTCAGTTCTAAAGTAAATGTTCTTATTTAGAAAATCGATCAAATTCCGTTGAACTAATGGCGACCATATATAACAGCAAACGATGTTAAAGTTTCCAATTTATAAATAATATAAAGGTAGTCTAGATATTGTAGCTTAACATTGTGTGGGAAATGTCATGAGCTCTATTTAATACTTTTCTTTGGGTTTATAACAAAACCAAAAAATGCCGGTTAATTTACACATTTGGTTAAAAAAAAAAAATATAAATAAATAAATAAAAAAAACACTGAAAAAGTGGGACATTTTCTGGCAGCAATAATCTGGTGATTTAGGGTATTGATGTGTTTATATTTTGTATTGGGAATAAAACTAATTTGAAAATAAATGAGCATTGACCTTCAACACATACCTGTCTGCTTTTTCCTGCATGTTTGATGCTGTAAAACATCGGGCCGAGCTCTGCTAACCATTCTCCATCCACAGCAGTAACACACTGCATGTACTCCTGCAACACAAAGTGGGCATCTCAACATCAAGACCAGCTCTAATCGGTGTATTAAATTGTTTATCATTTCATGTCTTTTGCTGGTTTTTACCTTTGTGGTCATTACAAGCTCGTGGTAGATGATGTAGTCTGGCGTGTAGCCCATACCAAAGAGGGAGCTGGTTGGATGGAGGTGACATGGCATGCCTGTCCTCACGTTCACATATTCACCAATGCCCTAAAACCAAATACAAACAATATATTAAAACTGCAATACAGGATCCTGTGCTAAAGAAGGTTTCTGACCATGTGGGTGCACCCTAAGGTCAGCGCAGAGCATGAGGGATAATTTGCTTCTCAACTCAGCTTAGACAGCAGAAAAAAAATTATCTAAAGTATATCCAACTTTAATATGATTGCTTGCTTTGGCCAGCTACTCGTAAGTCAAACTGAAAACCATTATTATATAGTCATGACTTTCAATTCCCTTTCAGATTTTAGCGTTTTATTAATGTGAGGCCAAAGGGGATATTTCACCACTCTGTAATTACGCTGCTATAAATCTGCCACAATTGGTCGCCACTGGGCCTAACACATTAACTGGGGAAACCAGAGTGCAGAGAGTACCTTAAGCTTGGCTGCCTGGTGGAAGTAAGCAGCACAGATACACTTTCTAATGATGTCCCAGTCTGAGCCACAGGAAATTAGGTTCATCTTCTGTTGAACCATGATATCCTTTAACTGGGAGCGGACCTCACGCACCTGAATAAAAGGAAATAATGAGAAATACAGTGTTTGGGAATGGAAGTAAAACACAATCTGATGGCTATCACACGACTGTTTTAGTAGAATTCAAGCATCAAAGGGCTATATATGCTATATGAGAGTATGACATTATAGTTACATATCCACACATGAAACTACATGATTCACATAGAATAATGTTAGCTAGAGTTACAGGTCTGACCTTGCGCATAGCCTTAGTGTGGATGAAGTGATCGTTGCACCAAATGCTGGAATAGTTGTTGTTTTTCCACTGCATGTAGACATTAAGGTATGTAAGGTGGTCGCTCTCAGGAACTGAGAACTTCTCCCTCACCTGGTCGCTTTCCTCCTCACGACCCTGTAGAGACATACATGTTTTTAGAGCTCTAAGTAAAAGTGGGCAATGTTTCAAAAATACAGTCAGAACCGAGGAGCGAGGTGACTATTTCTTTTGTTTGATTCTGTAAATGACCACTATTAATTTATTATTTGTTTGATTTTTTTTACTGCTTAAGGATACTCCATTTTACCTGCATGAAGAGGTCTAAACACACCACACCTCTTACCAACCCCAGGGCTTTTATCTGCTAAATTGATAACATAATGAAATAATTTTCCACACCTGCCCAGAAAAATAGCCTTTGAGTCAATTGTTTAATTACTTTTGATCCCTTTAAAAAGAGTGTGGCACTTTTTAAGGACCTGTAAATAAACCGTTCATCCAGTTTAAATATGAATACCCTCAAATGAAAGCTGAGAGTCTACATATTGTCTCTATGTTCATTGATCGTTGCTATTATAATTAAAAATATGTTTCAGTAAATGGTTTAAAAAAGTACTTGTGTGATTTCTAACTTTTATTTGGATGCAACTGTACCAGATGTATCCTTCATGGATCCAGAATTGCTGAGTTAGTTTATTTTTGTTACATTTTTAATGGTTCCAGATTAATTGGTGAATGTCAGATCTATACTAAATCTAACTGAAAATTATTTTGTGGCTTCTTTGAAACCCATTGTGTCAATTTTTAAGGGTTTGGTAAATGGGAAAAAGCTACAACAAACTTGTCTTCCCTATTCACCAAATAAATAAAAACTAAGAGCTCCTGCTGGTGTTTATCTCTACACATATCAACCAACAGTATTAGATACAGAACCCTTTATAAGCTTTCCTCGAACTTGGTGTCTGAATGTATGAGTGAAAAAAAATTTATATCTTAACAGGGAATGAAAGTCATACAGCTCAAGTTTAAAAAGGATGAGGGGATCGAACCGGATACTTGCAACCTTTGCAGAGCACAAGCGCACTGCTCTGACGCACTAGGCCAACAATAGTTAATCGTTAACTGTAATCAGCTGACAGAGCAACCCACTTAGAGAAGTAATAACACTAAAATCGTAAAAAATACATAAAAACTTTGCATTTAAGATTAAAAACAGGATTAAGCGCAATCCAGATTTGCTAAAGTAGCATAGTGTTTGGCTTTGATTCTGTATAACTTCTTTAAGGCACCATTTGCTATTCCATTATTAAGCAATTAATTGAAGAAATCATGACAGATCAATCATTTAGCAAAATAATAATTAGTTGCCTCCTTAATCTACAATACTGCAGAAGTCTTGGTCCCAATCTTGGTCCCTGAGCAAGACCCTTAACCCCACACTGCTCCCCGGGCACAGCACAATGGCAGCCCACCGCTCCCAAAGGGGATGGGTGACAGTGTAATGAAAAAAATAATAATTTTAAATAGCTGCCCCTTTATTTAAGTCTTACTTCCTATTAAAACAGAAATAATCAACTACCACCTTTATGGTGACAAAGCACAAACCTTAGGTCTGTAGAAAATGGCTGGCACTGACAGCATGGAGACAATGATGAGAATGTCTGCACTGCACCCCATGTCACAGGACACTATCAGCATCTTGGAGAGGGCGGGGTCGAGTGGAAACTCCACCATCAGACGCCCAGTTGGGGTCAGAGCACCTGAAAGGAAAGAGAGAAAATAAATAAATACGACAGAAGTGTGAAATGAGACGTGAGGAACGCTGGAGGGACAAACATTAAGGAGACTGATAAGCTTCTTTTCCATCTCAAACCTGCTGGCATAAAGGAAGCACTATTATGTGACACTTATCTATCAGACTGACAGGGGAGAAGGAACTGCTGACGGCTTAAATTACTTTTGGCGAAAGAGGAAAAAAAAAAAAAAAAAAACTACCTGGGATCCAAAAACTTTACAGTTTCTGGTTCAAATGATTAAAAGGAAAAAGTCTAAGAAGCTTATGATGAGGAAAAGCAGAGTAGCAGAGCAGCCAGTTTAGAGCAGGTAATCCTTAATCAGAGATAATCTGATGTTAACACACCATAAAGGGAATCATCAAAAGTTTCCTCTTATCCTGAAATCCTTAAATCCTCAGGAATCTGGCTAAGGATGAAATAGAACTTAGACCCAACCAGTTAAATAAAACATGGGATCAGAAACTAGGCAATTACTCCACTGGCTAATCCTAAAAAACTAACTCCTCTGGGCCTACGAGAGGAATCTGCATTATCCGTGCAGCATCCTTTAAAAAAAAAAGCTAGTCACGTATCTGTTTGTAGTTATATTATCATTATAATTAAACTCTAAGCAGCACTCAGACAAGGAAATACAACTATAAAAACTCCAAAACGTCATATCATTATAATTTGGAGCATTTGGCCTACATGATTAATAAAAGAAACTAATGACAATAATCATATATCAGTAATCACATTACTTCTGCATTTAACCCGTCCCCTTCGGGAGCAGTGGGCTGCCATTGCGGGGTGCCCAGGGAGCAATCGGGGGTTAAGGGTCTTGCTCAGAGAGCCAGAGTGGCAGTTTGTGGGATTGGGTTTTAAATTGGGTTTTCACAACCTCAGGATTCTAAGCTCTATGCCCTAACCACTAGGCCACCATTCCCCCTAATGGACATTTTGGTTTCAAGGTTTTTTTTTTAGATGTAGTCATTCAGCTTTGTCTCCTAAAATTATCAACTGTTAGTAAGAGATGACTAAAGCGTCCTAGTCTAAAATATCAAGAGAATTAGTTATTTGTGCAGTATCACAGAAAGACACTAGAGGTCATCCTAAATCTAGATCTCCTCAAATAAAACACAAATTCAAAATACGTTTCCACCAAAAGCAATGTTTTGAGCATAAACCACTACATTGATGGTCAGTTTTCAGTCAGAGCTACCCTTTCATCCAAATATAAATCACAGGATGTCTTTCTATTAAAACACCAACATTTATGTTCCAGTTCGTAGCTTTCACTCTAATAGGATCTCTACATTAGTTTAAATCTTTTTAAGAGATAAGCTGAAAAAAATGAAATGAAATTAAAAAGTGGCAAAAAAATAGCATATCAATTTATTTTTGTCTTTGTCTATAAATTGAACATGAATATATAAAATAACTATACATGTGTGTTCTATTGAGCCTCTTCTCAGATTAAAATATTAAAAGGTACATTTAAAAATAAACTTTAAGCAGGCTGTATATCAAATGTTTTTTGTTTTGAATATTCTAATTTTAGATGTCTTCGATAAAGTAAAGATTAAATAATTGTTCCATAAAGTGTGCATTACTTGGTAAGGTGGGTTACTTAAAGTACATTTAAAAAATATATCTATTGTTTTGTGGGGCTGCAATGATAGATCAATTTAATTAACTATGTAGATTAGCAAAACATTTACACAAAATGTCAGGCAATGAAACATGAACATATAAACATTGCTGCATTTCCCAATAGTGAACTGTGTTAATGACAATGCAGTTCAATAAGGCTGCTACAGGGGGCAGTATATCATGACTTCCCCAGAGAGCAATTAGAGCACCTAATCACAGGATTGCAGCTCAAATTAGTAATTAATAGCCAAAAAGAAGAGCACAAATTGTGAGACATATTTTCTTGACTTTATCAAAGATTAAATTTTAACATTATATTATGCAATAATGGCTGATGAATAGTGGCTGTGTAAAGCTAAAACATCTAGCTGGTTTATCAAATATGGTTTCATTGTTAAAGTACTGACATGATAATATTTGAAATAATTAGGCATAGTTAAACACTCCCAGATTAGAAGATTTTCATTTTAAATAAATTTCAGGGAATAAAGCTAAAATAAAGTGTTGAAACCTTGCCAGGGGGGTAGTGGGGGCATGGGATCAGAGATTGAATGAATGATTGAAGACTAAATTTGACTTTTGAAAATCCAAAACCAAAAACGGCCAGAAGATGGCCATAGTGCATCTATATCTACCACTTGCATGTACTACATTTCTTTTGATATCCAGTTTTGCTGCTAAGCGTTGTGTTAAGCGAGGAAAGCACACACCCTTTTTTTAACTCGTATTCACGGTCAGTTATTGACGGCGGTACATCAGCTGTTGACAACAGCAGCTTGATGACCAGGGTCTATAACTCATGTTTGTGTAGCACCTTTTAGCAGCTGGATGCATAAATAAGCTTCCTGGTGCACAACATGCACAAGCAAGCACCTGGTTCACCTAACTTCCAGCACCAGCTGCTAAATGGCTTGCCATCTCGCCCTGTCTACTCCAGCCATGCCCAGAGCATTTATTTTTAAGACCTTTATCTATGGTCATGACATCCTCCCCGGAGTTCATGAACTGCATTGTGCCCACCCCATGCAATTCCATTCTCTCCATCGTCCAACACAAAGTTTCATTTATTTATTTTTTGACTTTTTACACGTCTCTCTGTTGAACGTGTAGAACTTCAGCACTGTACCACAATCTATCTGGCGACTTGAGCAAGAAACAAGAGATGGAGGTACACGCTTTCCTAAGACCCGCCCCCTTCTTCTTCTGATTTAGTTTCAGAGCGCTCCTTTGCTACCATTGGCTGAGAAACGCAAGAGGGATTTCGATTGTCTTTTTAAAATGTATTTACCGTCAATTTATATTCAAGTGATTTTTTTTTTACCCACGGGCAATCGCTACGAGCCGGAAATCCGGCCTGGGGATTGGATAGGGGATTTGAATTTCTGTGTGATAATTTAACAGTAAAAAATATTATATAGCAAAAAATATAATATTAGAAATGGTAACTTAGGATTGATTATTTTACCATTAATTTGTAAGACTGTTAAAGGTTTAAATTACTTGGACACATTTCCATTGCTTTTCGATTTTAAAGCCATTATAGTCATTCAGGTCTGAGCAATGGGCAACTGAATGGAGTTAGCGTGTTTTTCCAAGAGTAGCCAGTCTGACCCACCTGTGTTGTCCAGAGCTCCCAGGATCCAGAGCTGGTACATGGAGTTGAGCATGTTGTCCTCAGGTGGTGGATCCATGAAGTGGAAGAGGAGCAGGTCCTGAACACCCAAAGATTTCAGCAGCAGGACTACATTGGCCAGGTTCGTTCTCTGGATCTCTGGTATGGTGGTGGTGAGCATCTCATTCTTATAAGCACTCTGAGTGTAAAGCCTTTGTAGGAATGAAAGAAACTCATCATTCAGTGTCGAAAATTTGAGCAACAAATAAAAAGAGATATTTTAAATTTTTAAAATTAGATCAAACGCATGGTCTGATTCAGAAAGCTGCAATTTCTGACGGAAAAATTAAAAGGCTAAATAAGGTTTAGCCTTTATGCCACTATTTGTGATAAGTACATAGTTACATTGCATATCAGACAATACTGCACTGTCCTTTATTTTTATTATCTCTTGTTACCGATTTCTAGGTGTTTATATTCATCTGCTACATTGGATTTACCAATTGAGATTATTTTCCACACCATTTTTTTCTACTCTCAGAATGTTTTTAGAAAATGTGAAAATTTCTAGCCTGTATGCAAATGGATTTCCACACAGACATTAAGAAGGTGGGAAATTCTCTGTGTGGGTTAAGTAAACAAGGCTGACTCTGTGTGTTATTACACACATCTACAGCAACTCAAACACAGCGTTTTCTCAGGGAAAAGAAGCTGGAAAAATACACTTTTTATTAGGTTCATGAAGGGGCAATGGGGTGAGATTTATTCTGAAAGACAAGCTTATAAAAATTGTAACTCAATAGGAATGTAAAACACATACTGAGTCAGCTTTTTCTTTAGGAAGAAGTTATGATCCTCTTTAACAATTTGTTTAGTAGTTTATCTTGATAAATCCTTATAGATCCTTAGAGAAATCAGTGTCCTGACTATCATTTTCTCTCTGTCCACATCTGGCAATCTTAACTATGCTTGACTTACAGTTCTATGAAGCAAGGAACAGAAACTAAACACTCTCTCTTAGATGCTTGACAGACATTTTTTTTAAAACAACATGGAAAAAATATTACCATGAACACTATACTTCCAAATGTATATGGCTGACTTTCATGCACATGACTCTGATGTCTCACACTTAACCCCACCTCCTAACCAGCCTTTTCAACACTTGAACACAGAAAAGTGAACTGCATTTAATTGCATATTGTAATAAAATAAACAACATTTGAAACCTGTGAGTTGAAGATTTAACAGTTTGCGGTCTGATCGAGACCACAAATGAGTCACGTTGCCATGAGTTGTCCCCTACCCTACATAAAACTCAGCTGCGTAAAAGAGTCCTCCGTGAAGCAGCGGGTTGTTACAAAAAGAGGAAAATAAACCCGATCCACCTCCTTTCCACC